ACGCACACATACACATTTCTCCACACACACAGAAACCGGCCCTGTGTCCATTAGGGGCGGAGGATCTTGAAAAGCCCATTCTTCAGCCTAATCTTATCCATAATCCTTACATCGACCCTGATTTCTCTCGTCGCCCCCTCCATCCTAAAATCCCGCGCCACCGCTACGTACAACTAGTGGCGGATCTACATAGGCCCGGGCACCTGTAGAATTTTGTGTAATATAATATATGTATATATATATATATGCTATATGTACTGGGCCGGCTCCAGGGGGAGGCAACCTAGGCATGGGCCTAGGGCTTCCCTTTTATTTGGGGGCCTCATATATTTTTTTTTTAATATTATGTATTTGGGTTGAGTTTTGTCTATCTACATAAATGAGGCCTCATTATTTTTTTAATATTATGTATTTGTGTTGGATTTTATTTATTTACGCAATATTTACACAAAAGAAGGGGTTAATGGTTAAATATGGACTTAAATCATTACACAAATGAAAGAGCTAATGGCAAAATATGTAGTTTTGTGTGGAAAATTGAGGCCCTAAATATTTCATTTGTTTTCGTACGATGTTCGGTCAGAACAAGTTGTGTGAAAATAAATATTCTTTCTAGTGATATGATTTTTATTTTCTTGTCTTTAGTGTCCTCGTGATTGGTTGATTGTAATTTATTAAAGATTTTTGTAGCCCGGAGGTAATTTATCAATTTCAGGTTCAAGAAAAACAAGATTTTTTTTTTCAATTATTTATTTATTTATTTAATAGTCTCGTTAAAATTTATGATTCTATTTGCGAATAGCCCTAATTACCACGTAAGTTCAAATCGAGAAAATTCGAAAAGAAAAAACTTGCCTAGGGCCTCCGAATTTCTGGAGACGGCCCTGTATATGTATAATTGTATTATTATCTTTGACATAAAAAATACATGTTATTAATTAGTATGCAAAGTTATATATACTTATATAAAAAGACATTCTATTTAATAGAATTAGTAGTAAGAAAAGTCAAAGGTAATTAATGCATTCTATTTCCATCAAGTATTTTATTTAAATTATTTTAGTTAAATGTTTTATCTCATAACACCTTTTCAATACAACTTATCATGATTTTTCTATTGTGATTAAAAACCAAATTAACGTATAAAATCTTGTGAAATTATTATTATTATTTTTATAAAGCACATATTATTTGTTAAAAAATTATATATATATATATATATATAATACACATCACAGTACCATGGTAGATGATTTAAATTTCAACCGACCGAAATGCCAATGATCTAAATTTGAATACACCTATGCGTTTGACCAAATGTCTGGATGATTTAAAATTGAGCCCATAAAAAATTATTTAAATTTGAACACACCGGAAATTTTATGTACTTTTTATTTATAAATATATTGAAACTGGTATTTAATGGCTATTATATAAACAATTTTAATACATTTGCAATGAATAAAAGTTTGAATGAATAATTTGTAATGTTATTCATAATGTTTGTGACTTATGAGACATGAACACATAACTCTACACATATTTGCCAGAGAGCGACTTAATAATTTTTTAGACTTTACGTTGATTAAAAGAGATAGAGATAATAACATTATTACTTTTTAGACTTAAACGGACAAGGCTGTGAAAATAACTCATTTAATATCTTTGTGGCGTGCATCGCACGGGGTACGTACTAGTTTCAATATAAAAAGCTAAAAAGAAAATGTTTAGAATTATTTAACATTCAATAGTATGTTATTTTTTAAGTTGTGGAATTTATATTTATATTATACTCAACTTTTTGTTTATTTCATTTTCTCTCCCAAAATTGAAAAAAACATAAAAAAAACAAATATTATAAATAAATGTATATACCATATAGGGGTTAAATCAAACGTGTCTCTATTTTCAAATGGGATTAAGAGACTCAACTCTAGCTATTAAACAAAAAACAAGGTGTTCGGTCAAATTTTTTAATCGTTTTATTTTTTAGATGGTTAAATATTGATTTGACCATTAACTTTCGGCGTTGACCGTTGACCGTAATTTGTACTCCCATTGACCTTAAAGTCTGCGTCCGCCTCTGCGTACAACGTTGCCTCCGCTCTTCAGGTTAGATCCAGATGGGTCACGCCACGCCACAGCTGGCATAACGGCCACAAGCTAGTCCCAGACATCACCTTGTCCTCGTACGACACCATGGCGTCAATATTGTCGTAGCACACGGGGGTCCTCCGATGGGGAAACCTTTGGGGCACCATGGCCATCAGATGAGAAGAAAATAACAGACATTACAAGAGAAAAAAAAGTGAAAAAAAAAATATCAATTGCTGATTTTTGGTAAAGAAGAAAAGGTGAAAGAAAAACAGATTTTGTGCGAGATCTATGGCAGAAAAAATTACAAAAACCTGAAAAGAACGAAAACAAGCCACTTGTTGGCTTTGACTGACCGCAACAAAAGGTAACCACAAAAAACAAGGACAATTGAGTAATCGCAAGGACACTTTTCACTCTATAATGTCTCAAACTGCTTCAAATATGAAATATACATGAGAGAGAGATTCTATGGTCCCGTTTCAGAACCATTATTCACGACGGTTACATAATGATGTAACGGTAGAGTAAACTCCACAAAATATTATACCAAGACAAACTGCAGTAAACTGCAGCATGTTGTTTTTTGAAGTGCAACGCGTTGTCTTATAAAGTGCAACGTGTTGATATATAAAATAAATTATTGTAATTTTTGTATGTTAGCATGTTTGTGTTTTGTGTGGATAAATGATATGATTAATGTTAAAATATTATTTATATACATTTTTTAAATTTATGTTGTGTGGTATTTTGGCGGGAGCAGAGGACGTTAGTTGTGGAGTGCGTTGATAAAGTGCAACATGTTGTTTTATAAAGTGCAACGTATTGTTTTATAAAGTGCAACGTGTTGATATTATTTTATAAAGTACAGCGTGTTGATATGTAAAGTGCACTACTTTATATCATCATACATAAATTATGTACTTTTGAAAACTAGATTTAGTAGATATAATTGTACATCGAATTAACCTAAATAATTTAAATAATTTATTATTTATTATGAAAAAATATATGTATTATTTTAATAACTTTTATATTATATATAAAAGGATTTGCTATTTATTATAAAAATTATAATTTATTATTGATAATTATAATATTTTCATATAAGAATAATTTATTATTTATTATTGTACAAGTATAATATATTATTTACAAAAATAATACTTCACTTTTATTTTTATTTATTATTTTTGATAATTTTATATAATCTTAAAACATCCAGAATATTAAAGATATATAAAAAATGATATTTTATCAAATATATTATATTTATCTTTTCTTGCAATATGTATACTGCAGTTATGTAATAATAAAATATAGATTATATACATTTTTCTTAAATTACACATTTAGCACCATAGACTAAATTGAATAAAAATAGAAATCCTTAAAATTGCAATCAAATCCATGACGGCCACAGTTGCTTGATCAGAAATAGAGGCGCATACTCGGAGGTATGCGGCGGTGGGCACTGCCAGTGGCGGCGGCGGCCGGTGGCGGAGTTCCATGACGGCCAGTGGCGGCGTTTCGAAGCGGCAACCGAGAGGCAGATCTGTGTTGGAGTTAGACTTGTCTAACAAGAGCCTTACTAAAAGAAATGAAGAACTAGTAGTAAAAATTAATTAAACACGCAAATACGAAATACTTGAGTTAGATTTTGTAGTATATATATATATATATATAGAAGTGCGCTCAAATGAAAAAAGAACACAATGAAAAAAATTAGAATAAATTTAGATCACTAGATATATCATATCAATGGTCATGATCAAGTCAAATTTTAATAAATAATGATCAATAATTAATGGCAATATAGTAAACAAGTAGATATATCATGGTCAAACATATAGATTTGACCACTAATTAAGGGTATTATAGACATGTGACAAAAACACACAAACATGTGGGACCCACCACCTCCCACATTAAACAAGTCCCCTACACCTACCCGTCACCCATCTTTTTTTCTCTTTTCTCACGCATCCACACACAGACACACACACCTACCTGTGCGCGCACACTTGCCCGCGCCCACCCACACACACACACACACACTTCTCCACACACACAGAAACCGGCCCAGTGTCCATTAGGGGCGGAGGATCTAGAAAACCCCATTCTTCAGCCTAATCTTATCCATAATCCTTACATTGACCCTGATTTCTCTTGTCGCCCCCTCCATCCTCAGATCCCGCGCCACCGCTACGTACAACCAGTGGCGGATCTACATAGGGGCCCGGGCCCCTGTAGAATTTTGTGTAATATAATATATAAATATATATATATGCTATATGTATAATTGTATTATTATCTTGACATAAAAAATACATGTTATTAATTATTATGCAAAGTTAATTCACTATAAAAAACTAAAAATAAAATAAAACATAAAAAAAGACAAATATTGCACATAAATGTATATACCATATAAGGGTTAAATCAAATGTGTCTCTATTTTTAAATGGGAATGAGAGACTCAACTTTAGCTATTAGACAAAAAACAAGGTGTTTGGTCAAATTTTTTAATTTTTTTATTTTTAGTTAGTTAAATATTGATTGGACCGGCATTGACCGTAGACTGTAATTTGTGTCCCTATTGTTCTTAAAGTCTGCGTCCGCCCCTGCGTACAACGTTGCCTCCGCCCTTCAGGTCTAGATCCAGATGGGTCACGCCACGCCGCAGCTGGCATAACGGCCACAAGCTAGTCCCAGACATCACCTTGTCCTCGTACGACACCATGGCGTCAATATTGTCGTAGCACACGAGGGTCCTCCGATGGGGAAAAATTTGGGGCACCATGGCAATCAGATGAGAAGAAAATAAGAGACATTACATGAGAAAAAAAGTTTGAAAAAAAAAAATATTAATTGCTGATTTTTGGTAAAGAAGAAAAGGTGAAAGAAAAACAAATTTTGTGCGAGATCTATGGCAGAAAAAGTTACAAAAATCTGAAAAGAACGAAAAGAAGCCACTTGTTGGCTTTGACTGACCGCAACAAAAGATAACCACAAAAAACAAGGGCAATTGAGTAATCGCAAGGACACTTTTCACTCTATAATGTCTCAAACTGCTTCAAATATGAAATATATATGAGAGTGAGATTCAATGATCCCGTTTTGAAACCATTCTGTCAGAATTTGTAACCGTTAGATCAACTACCCACGACGGTTATATAATGGTCTAACGGTTACAAATCTCAACGGAATAGTTCCGTAACGGGACTGTAACATTTCCCATATATGAGATATATAAATTCTATTTCCTACGATTACGAGGCAGCATTTTCATCATGAACCAAATAAATTGAGTGTCACGTTACACAATGATTTATAATCCTGCAGTTCATCTAAAACAAAATTAACTTTTTTTTCCAGCATCATAAACAGTTTCTCCCAACATACTGGAATAATAACAGTGCAACAACTGAGGAGTTCGCTGATAAATCTCCAACAAGGCGTATGTCATTTTATAAATGTAAAATATAAAACTAACAAACTTAAATTCCCCACGGCATTCTCCATCTCTCGTGTTTCTCTAGTCCATCTGTCTTCTGATTAGGAGACCGACCCGACCCTTATAGGTAGATTAACCTTTAGTCTGCTCGAGGGCTGCTTCCACTAGCTGCAGGCTTTTTCCCTTTGTAAGTCTGTTTAGACACAAATGCCACTGTTATCATTAACACCAAGACAATCAACTGGAAGAGTGATCAGCTCAGTACACACAGTACCATATTACAAATAGAATATTAATTTAATGACAAATAAGATATTGTTAAGATTATTAAAAAAAAAAAAAATCAAAACTACAAAACCCATTGGATGTTTTTCTTTATTGTACAAATTACAAATACCCATTAGGTGTTCGCCTCCATGGTAGTTACCATAGTGAACTCTTTAAGAGTGAAAATATACCGGTGTTGTATTTCAATTTTCAATGGTAAACTAGAAATATAATTACAGGATATGTGGTTAATGTAGTCACCTGTTTACCAATGTTAAATGGTATGTATCGGTACTTGATCATATGCATTATTTGGCGTTTCATCGTTAGCACGAAAAGGACAAACCAGTAGCACAATAATATCGGCCAAAAAACTGGGACATCGAACATGGAAAAGAAGGTCATCACAAATGCTACACAGAAAGCCTTTGTGATGGCATACCTGCAACCACAATAATCAGAGACAATCATCCACATTAAATCTTAGTCCGGAAAAGAGTATATTACAGAATTTTCAGTGCGCACAAATACGAAGAGTACAGTAGAGTATCAAATATCAAACCCTATCCAGTTTCTTCAGTAGCATAGCAAAGATCAAACCCTATCCGGTTTCTTCAAGAAATGCAGTGTTTCCTCAAAAGTCAAAACACACCTTTTCCAGTCTCATTTTCGTTTTCAGAAACAAAAACTTTAGGACAATTATATGACTTGAGTCACCTGGATCTAATAGGTCAAACTGACTGCATTATGTGACAACCCAAACAACAAATACACGCATATACTTGAAAAATGTAGACAAACATAACCTAGCAATGAACCGAAAACACCATCAGCATTTTACTCACCTATGTATGGAGTTGTATTACTGATTCAAGGTACAAAAGAGTATGTTTCTAACTCAAGCTACTAACACGAACTCTAATAATGAGTGTCAGCTAACCAAATTCATTGGTAGAGTAAACTCAACAAAATATTATACCAAAACAAACTGCAGTAAATTGTCCACTCTCATAGAGAACACTTATGTTCCATCACTAATATGTAAACTGAAAGCCTAACAACAAGTTATATAATATCCACTCATCATATTCAAATGTCAAAATGCTGTTTTCAGTACCTCATGGAATCACACAAGTGCTATATACCGGTCCGTTCTGAGTCGCTTACAAAAATACATACTAGGCAAGACCTCCCTAATAGACCAGAAATCAAATGTGCATGTAGAGATGCATTTGGATTAAAGATAGAAACAATGATTTAAATTACAATTTATCAACTTTCAGAGGACAATGGATTTCAAAATATGGACACAATGAACACCCAAAGAATCAATATAAGTACCAGAATTTGAACTCAGGGAGGCGGCGGATGAAAGGCTTGAATTCATCAGAGCCTTTTGTCGGCAGCATAGGACCATCAGAAGGTTCCAGCTCAGGGTCAACAAGAGGTGACAAGAACCCAATTAGCAGATTCAGAATGTAGATTCCCAAACCATACGTCACAATGTAGAACCCTTGAAGGTAGAAAACTCTCAGAGCGTAAACACACACTAAAACAAAAGTCCCAATCCACCGATAAAGAGAGTGAGGAGTCGATTTATCTAAATAGTACTGGAAAAGTTTTGATAGTTCGTGCCTCCGTTGGTTTAGTGCTGCAGCTGCTGTCGAGGGACCATCACCTCCAACCCCATCCATGATTAATTTGGCTTCAGAAACCCTACAAGCCCACACAACTTTTTCAATCAAGAAACCAGCTACAGTTGACCAAAAAACAAAAGAGAAAAGCATAACATGTTTGAATTCCAGAAGGCCACTGACAGCTAGGACGCATACAGATGAAAAAACAGAAGAAACTAAAGCCTACACAAAGTCATATCATCATTGGTAAAGAAAGTCTCCAATCAAAAATCATCGAAAGATAACCCAAAACGCTCTGACTCTGACAACCAAATAGAGCACCAAAACACAAAGAAAAATATCAATCAGCTCAAATGCATCAAGGAACATTATAGCTACAAAAAATGGGCTGATATAAAATAAAATAACACAGAAAAATTAAAGAACGGCTGAATGATGAAGGGGATATGAATATCAGATCTATATCCAGAAAAAAAAAAAAAAAATCAAACGAAATTAACATTTGCTGGTCTTGAAATACAAATCTAACAACCTTCATTCATTGATGATATTCTACGTAATAATAATCCAAAAACACCCAATCCTTAACGAATCCTTAATGATAGTCACAAACTGAAACCAGACAAACAGTTAGAACCAAATCAAACAGCAGTAAGTCCCCCAAATTAAGAAAACCTACTCTCTGGAATACGATACGCACTTACTGAAACATGCGATTGATGAAGAAAACAAAAGATATGATACATAATCAAAAACAGCTAGTAGGTGATTATGTTTTACCTCGGACGATGATAAATCAGATCAACGAGCAGGGCTTACTCAGGGGTTCTTGGAGGTAAGGGATTTCGTTTGTGCGGGGGAGTTGAAATTGGTGTGGGGATATGCCGATGTGCAGTACTCGGCCAAAGGGCACTACAAAACGACGTCGGTGAGCACCATGCGATATATGATCGTACAATTTTGGGCAGTATCGTCATTTTCACCACCCAAAGAGTCAATGAGAACTCTACCCCCAAATGGATCGAGCGTCACGAGTTTGAAATAACATACGGGTGAAATCGTTTGCCATTGTTCCATTTATGATATATTTCTAACAAAAATGTATATTCACATTGTAAATTATATATTTTAGTTACATTGTTTTGTGGAGTATAATATTTTAATACATATATATATATGTTGAAAAACTATACTTGATATAATATATAAGAATAGCTCGGTGAACCGGTCATTCGACAAATTAGTCGAGTGTAACTTAAGTGGTAAGTTTAAGACCACACGCCATTATCTGCAACTCGACATAGGAGCTGCTCAGCCTTTAGGGGTACTGTGGTATCAATAGCTCGACATATGAGCTGCTCGGACAGTATGTGGCTCGATAGTTAAGAGCTCTTGTAGTTTTGTGCTCGGTATAGGACATTAAAAGGCATCTTATAGTGAGGTGCCGACCTATAAAGGCACCAAATAAAACTAAGAGCTGACCTATGGGGATGGTTATGAGAGGTGGTCCACAAGAGACTTGTATTCCAATGGAGGAAGAACCAAGCATACTAAAAAAGCTAATAACCCTCTATAAATAGGTAACATTGGGGAAAATGCAAGAATAATCACACTCTATAATCTAAAACTATTCCATACAGTTCGATTCAGCTTTTCATAACCTTTTATTGACTTGATCGTCGGAGGTTTAACACCGAGAACACCTCTCGTCGTCATTGCAGGTCTCCGGGGAGCAAAACGATCGAGGATCGTTAGAAGGCCGGTCCTAGGTGCGATATCACATCAATTGGTGTCGTTTTGTGGTGTAACTTTGTTATTATACAAGTTGTGAAGGAAGCTAAGAGGGAGAAGATGATTGGAGAAGAGGAGCGATTGCACAGTAATTTTGATAAGAGCTTTGAGGAGGTTAGGGTAGCAAAAAAGCCTACCGATAGGATAGGCTGGAGGCGAGGGGATGATGGTTACCTCTTATGTGACCTTGCAAGGGGCGAACCAGACCTTGTCACTGGAGCTAGATCGGGGGTTGGTAGACCACGGGGTTAAAGAGGTTGTTGCACAGACGACATGCCACAGACCTGCGACGGGAAGTAGTGAGCAGGTGATCCAAGTGATAAGGGGGGAGTTGGATCGCCTCATTGCGGCGGTGGTTGGTAGGGCGATAGTGTCTCAAACACAGGCGGCAGTGGAGAGGCCGGTTGTGGTGGTGGAGCAGCCGGATCTCACGGTGGATCATCAAAATAGAGGGGTGCAGGTTATGGTCCCGGTGGTGGAGTAGCATCTCCCGACAATATCTAGGCCGCTGGGAGGTGGTAGCTAGAGGATAAATGAGCGAGAGGAAAGATCTGTTATTTATCGATGGGTAATAGAACACTGAAGGGTCTGGTGTTGGAGCAAATGGTGGATCAGATTAGTGAGATTCAGGCCAAGGTGGAGGGGAGCGTCTACCAAGGACGCAAGGCCATCATTTTACCGATGATGTCTTGGGTGTCGATCTACCACATAACTTCAAGGAGCCTAGCATATTCTGTGATGGGTCTTCGAATCTAGCTAGGCATTTGCAGAGCTTTGAGAATGTAGCAGTTCTACAATGATACAGTGATGAAGTTTGTTGCATAGCCTTTTTGACAACCTTAAAGGGCCCTGCTTAAGATTGGTTCCACCAGTTGCTGGCCAGATCTATCTATAGCTTTGGTGTGTTTAGCTCATTGTTCATCAATCAGTTCTCTAGTGCAAGGGAGCATGAGAAGATCTTCTTCACGTTGATTAACATGCAACAACGTGAGAATGAGTTGTTTTGGGATTATGTTGCTGTGGAGGT